TTCCTAATTATCGATTCATCAGAATGTTCAAAATAAGAAAATTGAAATTTCTACAAAACAAATCAAACGATTAGGAAACAAACTCGATTCGAGAGAGTACCTGAAACTTGCGAAGGTGTCGATGAAGAACTCTCCACCACTCTCACAGGCATTTTTGCAAACAATCGATTCAAAGCTTTCTCTCTGCAACTCTCTCTCTCTATATGGTGATCGGGGGTAGATTGGGTATTAAAGAAAATCCAACCAACGAATTATTCACGTTTTTGTCCTGGAAACAAAAGCATATATGTATAATTGGTTTCAAGAGGTTTAGCTTAGTGGACCATGTCTTTTGGACAACATAACATAAGCCCAAGAGTAAAACATAAAGAAACATAGCACGTCCTTGGGCCTAGTTTTTAGTTTTATCAAATTTATGTTAGCATTGGAGATTGTCTTTGTTTGAGAGTTTGGGCTTTCTGGGCTTTCCATTTACTTCTATCACGTGATATGCATTTGTCTCTTCTTTGAAAACTTATAAATAGCAGAGCATAAACCCTCCGCCTTCTTATTAACTTCTTCCGCTTCCAAAACCTCATTCATATCTAGGGTTTTGCAAGTGATTTCTTCCGCAGTTTCGTTTCCTTCTCTTTTAGGGTTTTTATTTGAACCCAAATCTTCTATTATCAGTTTCTTTTCAATTTGTATATAATTTTTTTTGTTAGATTTGTTGTGGTTTTCTTATTATTATTTATATGTTTTTCTAAATTGTTGATGGGTTGGAAAACTGTTTTTTCGTTGTTTGATGAATCAATCGATTGATTATTGTGACGGAAATTGAAATATAATTAATTGGGGGCAAATCAATTATGTTTGTAGATTCCCTAGTAAAAGTCACAAATGAAATCTCCATAAGACATATACATTTAATTTGTATTATGCTAAATCTGATTATTTTAAATATGATAACAATTACGCTGGATTGGAATTCAATTCATTGGATGAGAGGATAGGTCATTATAACTTGAGAGTGCCAGATATTTGATTTAAGCGGATGGTTGCTAAGCATGAATTTTGGGAGAGATGACAACAGCTATTGATGATATATGAGAGGCTGGAGATTGGGTTTTTAATTCTATATCGCACTCTCCGATTGTAATGATCTTTCTCTCATTTTATTGAGTTACAAATCTGCTATTCTTTGTTCATTTATCTGTTTTTTGTTAGATTTGAATATTTGGTTTTAAT